AACAAACAAACAAACAATCTTTTGTATCAGTCTGGAGGATAAAAGTCTGAGATCCAGGTATCAACAGGGGTGCTTCCTTCTGAGTGCTGTGACAGAAAGATGTATTCCAGGCTTCTCTCCATGGCTTGCAGACAGCCATCTTCTCCCTGTGTCTTCATGTGGTGTTCTCCCCATGTGTATGGTTGTGTCCGTGTCCAGTTTTCCCTTTTTATTGTATTAGGCCCCACACTAGACTTCATTTTAACTTGATTACCTCTATAAAAACACTATCTCCAAATAAAGTCACATTCTGAGGTACTCAGGGTTTGGATTTCAACATATCTTTTTTAGCAGGGGAGGGGAAGGAAGCAGATACAATTCAACTCATAACACATGTCAAATATGTAATCTGGTCCCTGGGGAAAACACTGTTCCTGCATTGTGAGACATATTGCTGGTAAGAGACTTTCAGCCTTGGACCAATGCACTGACAGCACTACAGGGGTCCCCAGAAACCATGCAGTCCCACAAGGGACTGGTCCAAATTCACAAGTCAGTGGCTCAGAGTTGAGGCCACAACCCAGTTCTTAGGAAGCACCACAAGCCTCAGACAGAAGCCATGGGAAAAACATTATAAGGAGTATCTTTTCCAGAGGATTAACCCACAGAGCAGGAGCCTCCCTAAGGTATTGCTCTGAGGGTGACTGAGTGGCACTGCTGGCCACATTTCTTAATGGTTGTCGGCCCTCCCCCATGTCCTCCTCCCTATCCTCACCCAATTCCTCTGTCAATGAGCACTGACAGTGAGCTCAACTGAAACGGGTTCTGCCACCTATGCAAGTACTTTTAAATCCATTTGAAAACTACAAGAGAGAAGACAGAAGGAGGAAATAAAGAGAAGTGACTCAGCTCATTACAAAATATGATTGAAAATTACAGTAAATTGGACATAAGCTGGGCTTCCTCTTTTGATAATAAAAAGTTTGAATTTATTGCTCAAACTGCATGAAATTTTCTCTTACTGAGGTCTGTAGACCTGTCTGTTACCCTTGTTTTTCTTTTCTTTAAAAAGTGTGGTAACATACAGATAACAAAAAAGTTACCATTTTAACCATTTTTAAATGTGACGTTGAGTGGCATTAAGTACGTTGACATTTTTTGCAGGCATCACCACTGTCCATCTGCAGAACCTTTTATCTTCCAAAACTGAAATTTTGTTTCCATTTAACAACAATTCCTGAATCCTCCTCCCCAGCCCCTGGCAACCACCATTCTACTTTCTGTCTCTGTGAATCTGTCTGCTCTAGGCAACTCTTAGAAGTGGAATCACACACTCTTGGTTCCTTTTGTGACTGGCTTATTTCACTGAGCATAATTGTAGCAGGTGTCAGAATTTCCACTTTTACTTCTTTTATATAAGGTCTGGCTTTGAAAACATGGCCACTGGATTGTTTTTAGTTGGGGGAGGCTACTAGCACCAAGTGCATCTGGAACTATGAAGTCATTATGGTTGGAAGTGAATCTTGGGCTCAGTGAGTAAGGCCCAGAGACAAGGATAAAGGAGATCAGAGAAGTGATAAGCTCAGAGAGCCTCCCCTGCCATCACACTTGCATTTATGCAGGGCACTAGCCCAAATACATAGGGCAAGGTCTTTGGCCAGCAGTCTTATCTATTCAATCCAATTGAACACATATGTATTGAGTGCTGACACACAAAGCACTACAGTGTATGGAGAGACAACTTTGGTGGCTTAGAGCAGGCCAGTGCAATGAGCTAACCTATAGAAGGCAGGTAAGCAAGGGGAGGCCACCAAAGATAACCATCCATTTGACCCTCACTCTTTGTGTACATGTGACCTCCTCTCCTCACTCTGTGGCACTGAACCTCAGGAAACTACCACCAGCCATCTTTGGCTGTCGCAAAGCCAAGTGTAGGAGATTGACCGATTGAGGTCCCATTAATTCATTCCCTGCCTCATTCCAGAAAGGATTTAAGGGGGCTGGTGTAGGTCATTGAACCTTTAAGTTCTCTATAGCACAGCTTCCCAACTACTACACTCCAAATTAGCACAGGCTTGCATGGGTATTGACCTGCTCAGCCATTCCATTGGCTGGCAAAGCCTGGGACAAGGGCTCAGCCTGTGGGCAGGATATTTCGAGCTATGAAAATACTCCTTCGTCCAGCTCCAGTGTGCCATACAATATTATCATTTTCTAAGTAGGTATTTATGTGAAAAACTATTGGGAAGCTCTGAACTATGACTTATCTTTGCTTCCTCTTACTGTGTCAACCTTACTTATTCCTACCTCCTCTGTGCAGTCTCCTCTGTCATTTCTAGCCCAGCACTCAAGACACATTGATTTACCCCTCCTCACGTTTCAAATGAAAAGATACCCATTAACTGCCTTATTCTGAATGTCACTAATATACCATACACAAGAGCTAAAAGGAAAAGAGAAATAACCAACATTTACTCAGTACATACTAAGTGCAGACATTTTATGTACATAATCTCACATCATTCTCACCACAGCAGCCACAATTATTAACTCCAACTGACAGATGAAACAACCAAGGCTCAGAAAAGTTAGAATAATTATCCAAGTTTATGGCTATGACATGGTAGAGGCAAGATTTGAACTCAGGGCGGCTCTCTTGCTTCAAAGCCCACACTCTTCGTCTCAAAGTTGACTGAAGACCTAGTCAGGCCTTCTGGTTCACCTCCTCCTACCAGACTGAGCATGACTTCCACTCTGGCATCCCTACATTGTCTAACAGTGGTAGGATACATAGTAGGCACTTCCAGAATGCTTCTTGAGCTTGTCTGTACAATTGACCCTTGAACAACATGAGGCTTAGGGGCATTGATTCTCCATGCACTTGAAAATCTGAGTATAACTTTTGACTCCCCCAAAACTTAACCATGGCTACTGTTGACTGGCAGCCTTACCAATAACATAACAGTCAATTAACATATAGTTTGTATATTATATGTATTATACATTGTATTTTCACACTAAGGTAAACTAAAGTAAAAAAGTGTTATTAAGAAAATTGTAAGGAAGAGGGGCACCTGGATGGCTCATCGGTTAAGTGTCTGACTCTTGATCTCGGATCAGGTCATGATCTCACAATTCACAAGATTGAGCCCCACTTCATGCTATCAGCACAAAGCCTGCCTGGGATTCTCTCCCTCCCTCCCTCTCTCTTTCTTTCTTTCTTTCTTTCTTTCTTTCTTTCTTTCTTTCTTTCTTTCTTTCTTTCTTTCTCTCTCTCTCTCTCTCTCTCTCTCTCACACACACAAGAAAGAAAGAAAGAAAGAAAGAAAGAAAGAAAGAAAAAGAAAATACATTTACAGTACTGTATTTATTGAAAAATTTCATATGTAAGTGGACCCACACAGTACAAACCCCTGCTGTCCAAGAGTCACCTGTAGTTTAACACCCTTAACTCTGTCCTCAGGTGTGAAGTGCACTGTTTTGCTTTCCAGCATGACACCATCCAGATTCAACAGCAGCCCAGGCTTCTCACTAACATTCATGGATGATGAGACCTGGTTCAGTCAGGTCTGTAATTTTCTCACTGGCTTTGACATCTCCACCCCCCCCAAAATGCAAGCAGAGTTTCAAAAACTAACAACTGAAAGTTCTATTTGAAAAGTTGAAAGGTAGTACACCATAGTTAGATGTGTACAAGCACTTTTACCCCATTTAGTCTTGTGGCTCTATAATCACTTTCAAGTTACTATTATGACTTTATTTTCTCATCCATTTTTGCATAAAGTTTTAAATGGTTTCTGTCTCACTCAAAATCTGTTGATCCATTAGGAGCTTTTAAACTTCCCATGACAGCAGAGCACACAGATACAGCCCTATGTTCTATCAGGACTAGACATAATGTATTGATTTCAAAATACCACCTTGGCAGAAATCGACCGACAGGCTTTAAATCAAAACCTCTCATGAAGCATACTGTAGATGATTAGAGCACTTACCCTCTAAATAAATACTTCATGGGGCGCCTGGGTGGCTCAGTGGGTTAAACGTCTGACTTCAGCTCAGGTCATGATCTCACAGTCTGTGAGTTCGAGCCCCACGTCGAGCTCTGTGCTGACAGCTCGGAGCCTGGAGTCTACTTCAGATTCTGTCTCTTTCTCTCTCTGACCCTCCCCACTTGTGCTCTCTCTCAAAAATAAATAAATGAAAAAAAATTTTTTTAAATAAATAAATAAATAAATAAATACTTCAATTCCATGTGAAATTAGAAAAATGTGAACCCATCTTCAAGATCATTGATATTCAGAAAATCTTTCAGAGTACTTTACTGAGTCCCCAAAACACAATTGCTGGGAGCCTTCATCACAACAGCCTATCAACACTGCTCAAAAGGAGGCAGGATGGGGCTGTGGGGCCTGGGTGATGCTAATTAAGGTAATTTCTCTTAGTCACTTCCCAATCTACAAAATGAGGGGGCAGTGGAGTAGCTGATACCAGGTTCTATCAGAGTCTAAAATTGCCACTACTTTTTTTTTTTATTAGGTTCAAGAATATTGTAATTAAGACAAGTGGCCCTCTGATTTTTGTGTTCATAGCCTATATTTGATTATTACAGTTTTCTGGCACATCCTAAGGGATTAAAGGACTCACAACAATACCAAACAAGCAAGCAAAAATTACAACACACCCCAGTTCAGTATAAAAATGCCTCTCTCTGTGCCCAAAGCCACTCTTTCTTTCATTCCTTTCTGATGTTACACTACATGTGCCTTACTTCTTTTTCAAGCAAATTATTATCCCTTCTCACAACCTGTTCATTAAGTGCAAGGGGGAAAAGTAGGAGATGGGGATAGGGTAACTGGGAAGAAGATTATATGAGACTTTTGATTTTACTCTATGTAAGAGTTTTGGGCAGAAGAGTGACATGATCTAAGTTTTACTTTTAGAACATCAATCTAGCAACTATGTAGGGAATATACCAAATGGAACAAGGGAAGAAGCAGGGTAATCAGGTAGAAGGATACTGTAGTCACCCCAGAAAGAGATGATGATGATGATGATGATGATGATGACGACGACGACGACAACAATGACGACGATGATGGGTAGGACTGGGGTGGAAGACATGATGGTAGTGAGAAGTGGCTATATGTAAAAGGAAATATTGAAAGATTTGTTGATGAATTAGATTTAGGGTAGGAGACAGCAATATAAAGTTAATCTCCAAGGTTTTAGCCTGAGCAACTGCTATTTACTGGGATTCAGAAGTCTGCAAGAAGATCAAGTTAGGGGAGGAGATTGGGGGTTTGAGTTGAAATGTCTATTGTAAACCCCAGAGGCTATGCAAAGTTTACAGTTGGGTGTACAAGTTTGGTTCAAGAGAGAGGCTTAGGCTGGAAAAGTAAACCTGGAAGGAGCTCATACATGGTTTTTAAAGCCATCATTTTGAGTAAGATCAGAAAGGCAATGAGCGGAGAGGAGGAAAGACAGGATACAAAAGAAGAAGCTTTATGCCCTCTAACCTTAAGAGTAGATGAGGAGGAACTGTCATATGAGAAGAAGCAGCAGCAGCAGCCAGTGTAGTAAGATTAAAGTCAGGAGACTGGAGCCCTGGAAGCCAAAGAAGCAAGCCTGCTTATTTCAAAGATTTGTCTGATATACACCATCATAACACAGTATATGACAGAATTATAGGAAAAAATGTTTCACGATGAACAAAAATGTGGTGACACTACTGCTGATCCATGTATTGTAAGCAAAAGAACTGTCCTGCTCAACTACAACACTGCCTGCCATGATCCAAGCCAATGCTACTGTTGCCCCTGGCTCTTTCCCACCACTGAGAGCTCATGGAAGTGCTAGAACTGAAAATTTGGCAGGGATTTTAGATATCAGCCATAATTTGGCCCAAACCTCTGCTCTGCCACAAACTGGCTGTGTGACCTTGAACATGCTGCTTCACTTCTTCTCTGACCCTTAGTTTCTTCATTTTTAAAGTAGGCTATATCTGCCAGGGTTTGAGGAGAGTAAAAACGAACATCTATACACATATCACTTGGCACAGAGTAAAAGCTCAGAGTGTCTAATCTTATTAGCTAATCTCTTGCAAAATATAATAAAATTTCATTATCTGAGAAATTCATCACACTGCCTTTACATTACCGAAGCTCAGAGAAAAATAAATCCTTAAATTCTAAGACACAAGGAATCTCCCTCTTCCATTATCCAGCCACTGCCGCTTCTCAGATCTCCCCACCTCCCAGCCCAGCTGCATGCCATCCATATTGGTGTCTCTTCCTCTAGCCCTAGCCCCAGCCGGATGTAGAGGAATGGCTGCTTACCAGCCCCGATCCTGGTGGCTCTTGAAACATCCTTTGACACTTATGTGATGCCACACTCTAGTTCTCATCCTTCTTGATCTTCTTCCTGGGTTCTTCTTCCTCCGCCTGCCCCTTAAAGCCTGGGATCTGCCCTGGATCATCCTTTCCTACAAGCTACATGGTCCCTCTGGGAAGCTCACAAACACCCAACCTTTACCTCTTCACTGTGGCATTTGCTCTTCTCTCCAAAGTTTATACTCTCTAGGCAAGCCTTGTTTCCTGAGCTCCAGACCCACCAACTACAAACTGGACATCTTCACACCTCCTCAGTATCCTGGCAAGCACCTCCAGTTTAGTGATGGTGTCAAGCAGGCTTCTCTCCCTCTCTTCCCCCTAAAACACTTGCCTCCCCCATAGTCATCACCATTTCCACTATCCACACCAGAAACCCAAAGTCCTCCCTTCCCTCATTCTCAGAGTGCAGTCAGGCTGGCAACAAACCTCATTAGCACCACCTTCAAAAATATATATACTGAAGGGAGGAGCCAAGATGGCGGAACAACATGGAAGCTTTTTGTGTGTCTCGCGTCCATGAAATACAGCCAGACCAACACTAAACCATCCTACACACCTAGAAAACTGACTGGAGGATTAACACAACACTCTGCACAACCTGAACCACAGCTTTCAGCAGGTACGCGGCGCGGAGAAGTGAACTTGGGGAGCAAGAAGGTGCAGGAAGGGAGGTGCTTTTGTGAGCAGAGAGAGGACTGAGACTGGGGCGGAGGAGAGAATACAAGAAAAGCACCCCTCCCCAAAAGCAGCTGGAG